TTCAGCTCATCGTTAATTATATTATAACATCTTAGGGTTCCATATGAAAGAGGAAAGGAACTTGCTGAACAATATGGGGTTCTTGAGATTTTGCGTCCTTTGTTAGAATATAAACCACCTAAACATGATATACCTTATTCATCATCTCCATACACTCCAACTAAAGAACAGGCGATGGCTGCTTTACGTAGACAAGCTGCAAAGGCCACTACCCCCGCTATTCAATCGAACGCTCAATCCGATGCTCAAACCAACGGGGACTCTTCCTTACTATCTAACAATGAAAACGAGAATGAAGCTGCTACGGTAACAAATTTTGAGGCTTCTGAGCCACCTCTAACGGTTGCAGAAATGGACGAAGAAGAACGTCACAGAAATGTCTTAATGGCAATATTCCTTAATGAAGACCCGAATCAAATCCCTGACCTTCTTTCAAACCCGTCTTCTCCGGATGATATTGATTATGACGTTATAATTGACAGTCACGGTCATACGGCTCTTCATTGGGCGGCTGCTCTAGCTCGATTACAAGTTATGGAATTATTGCTAACAAGAGGTGCTAATGTACGTCAACAGAATTATGAAGGTGAATCTGCTTTAGTACGCGCCGTTCTTGTTACCAATAATTATGAAGCACAAAATTTCCCAGCTGTTCTTGATCTTCTTCATGAAACTATCCCATTGACCGATAAAGATAATCGAACTGTTTTCCATCATATTTCAATGACTTCTGGCACTAAAGGCCATGCTGCTGCTGCGAAATATTATATGGATTGTATGCAGCAATGGATTGCTCAAAATGTTGATGGAAACCTTTCCACCATTTTAAATATTCAAGATAAAAATGGTGACACGGCTTTAAATATTGCTGCGAGAGTAGGAAATACTCAATTAGTTCGTCAGCTAATAGAAATGGGTGCTAGCAAGCAAATTGAAAACAAAATAGGTTTAAAGGCAATAGACTTTGATCCAGCTGAACGTATTGATATTGACGATATAAATGTAAGTTTATAAATTATTTATTCTCCATTATTATATAAAGAAAGAATAATAAATGTATCGCTTCGTTCTCGGGTAGGATGCAAGACTAGAGCAAATCGACTTTTTTACTCCAACTTTTGTTAATCCTCGTAGAAAATCAAAAGAAATAGTGTCAGGTAATTAATTTATTATTATTATTATTATTATTATTATTATTATTATTATTATTTTATTGATTAATAAAGATAATACAAAACAATGAGTTTACACAATATATATTCATCATTTGATGCATGTCCATTTAGGTCTTCAAAAATTAGTTGAAGAAGCTGAAACGGAATGGATTGAACAGCTTAGATTAAAAGATGAACAACTGGTTGACTTGCAACGTCAATGTAATGTAACTTCAAGACAACTCATCGAAGCTAGACGAATATTACATTATTTTCGTCAGCAAGACAAGGAATTCGATGAAACAGAAGAGTATATTAAATTTCTTGAAAAGGTATTGAATGCTGAAGATCAAGACGAATATACTGTCCCGCGTAAGCGTCAAAAAATTGAGCATTCAAACGGAACTACTATTGGGTTAGATGTTCTTTCAGTTATTTCTACTACCATTCCAATAACAAAGACGGACGTTTCTGTACCAGAAACTGAAGTACCTTTGTCACAGAATGTGCCATCATCACCATCTACGATGCCAACTTCGTCAACTATTGGTGTGACACCTGTTCGAATACAACAAGCTCAGCTTACAGCCAATCCAACGTCCTCTATAAACACAGGAACATTGCCGCCATCAATTATTTCAATCAAGGATTCAATATCAACATCACAGGATATCAATGAGTCACCAACCACACATGCGATATCATCACAGTCAAATACGCCTTTTACAACTGATGCTGTACCAACACCCTCTTCCGCAGCACATCCAATATCTTTTCCATCATCAACGAGAGTGGTCCCGACTGCATTCCCTCCGTCCATGGTTGCTCCATTTACATCAACCACGAGAACAGTTTCACCAATGACGTCATACAGTATTCCAGCAAGTAAACCACCAACAATAACAATTACTCCCCCTCCGAATACTACGCAGTCGTCACAAACAACCAAGCCATTGTTCCCAACTTCTCCGGTCTCGTTTACTCCCATAAAACCTCTAATGGATGTGAAAACGGAAAATGAAATCAGAAATCTTCAAGCACAGATAAATGCATATTCAAAAGATGAGGATTTACTTCGGCAAGAAATCAGTGAATTGAGGGGAAAATCATCGAATGCTGAGTTGCAATGCAAGAAAATCATTGCCTCATGCTGTAAAATCGAGCTAGACAAGGTTGATGATTGTGTTGAAGCGATATTACAAGCAATGGAAAGTGATAGTGCTGATTTTAATCTTTCTAGAATCAAGGATTTGATGAGCAGAGTTCGCTGTGAAGAAATGGAAGATGCAGTCGACTAGAGCTTAGAACCGGGTTATAGTAAACCGGTTCAACCGGGTCAAAGGCTTACAACTCGGGTCAAAACGGTTGAATATGTAACCTCTAAAAATCTATTATTATTACACAGAAAACATAACAAAATTTAACACATTATTATTGTATTGTGAATAAATACCTCTTTTTTTCTTACTAATTTTATCTAAATTTTCAATCCCGCTAACCTGGATTTAAAAAAGAAAGTTTTAAACTTTTGGAGGCTACCATACAGACCATCTATTGTTGCGAAAATTTGTCAAAAAATTTCCTTTGTATAAACCTTCATTATTATTTTCTTTGTTTGGCTTATATGTAATACGTACACTATGTTTTATTAGGGCAACTTTTAACAGTTGCAACTCATTGATTAATTGATTAGTTGTAATTTGGCAATTAATTGATTAGTTGCAATCAACTAAAAAAAGTTGATTTGTGATACTAGAGATAGGTTTGATGTGATAATTATACTAGTTTTTATTGTTATTGGTGTTTAGTTTAATAGATATGTTATACAGTATACTGTATATGGTTGATATATATATTATGAAATAATTAAATAATACTGTTTGTTATTATATATAGTATTTAGAATCTTATTTAAAATTTTTATTTTTTAAATTGAATAGTACTGCATAAAGAGCCAGATATTATATTTGGGATATATTATATAAACAGTAATAAATTCATGCAGTTAAACCCTTGGGTATTATTCAAGAATCAAACTAAATAGTGATAAATAATATCTGGGTTTTAAAAAAGATATTATAGTGACCTGCTATTTTCTTCTTTATAAAAATCTTAATAATCTTAGAATCTAGTAATTAGATTTTAATTTGTCTAAAATTAGCTTCTATTAGAGCGATAATACAAAATTATACAATATTCTGAAGTTATATGTTGTAATATAGCAATTTAGAGTCTTAATAAAGCTATATTACTTGACTTAACATATAAGAGTATTAAGAAATGTGTTTGCAAACAAGAAAAGAATAAAATCAGAAAAAAAACCAAAAGAGATTTTAAAATAAAATCATAAACTAAAAATAAAGAAAAAAGGTAATGGCTCAACTTAAATACACAATTAAAACACAATAAAAACTTTATTAAACATAATAAAAAGAAAATAGGTGATGATTATACTTTCAAGAAAATAAACTATAAATAATAAGAAAATTAAAAGTGGATAAGAAACAGTCTACTTTGGTAAGAAAGACAAAATTTTTATATCTTTTGGGCTATTAGTTAACAACTCAATTAATGACCCAGTTAACAACCCAGTTAATGTATTAAACTAGGAACCGGAAACCGGTATAAGTCCGGAGCCCATAACAGCATTCAATTAATGGCCCTAACCCCTGAAAAATCTGGTCATGTATATCACAGATCAAAATTTTCAGGGGCGTTACAAATGGAAAATGCCGAAACTACGTTTTTGATATTATCATTATAGATGCATCAAAATCATAATTTCAGTCATCAAAACGCATAAACATGTAAGTCCTCCGCTTCGCTCTAGACAATAACATCCCAAATAACAACCCAAATAATGTACCAGATAATATCCCAATTAATGTACCAGATAACATCCCAGTTAATGTACCTGTTAATATCCCAGTTAATGTATCTATTAATGTCCCAGTTAACATACCTATTAACATACCTAATAATGTTCCTAATATTATACTAAAAATAATACTATATATCAAAAATTTTACTATTAAACTAAAACTAAAAATATATATATAATAAATATAAACTATATTAATAAAATATACTAATAAAATCTACTAATACAACAATGTATATAATTTTTAGTTTTTAATATATGTTAAAATGCATTTTAGTTTATAGTTTATTTTTGTCCAATAGTTCTATATATAGATTTTTATAATTATATAGATTTTCATCTGATTTATCAAGATTATACGATCGCTTTTCATTTTGAAGAATTGAAGAAAAACCACTTACTAAATCAATTAATATTTTACTAAATATTATACGACAGGGTGAAACCCGCGCTGTGAATTAGTAAAATCCGCTACGTATATCACATGAGGGTGAAATTCGCTTTTGCATAATAAAAAACATAGCTAAACGCGGATTTCACCCTAACGTGATCTACGTAGCAGATTTTACTAATTTACAACACGGGTTTCACCCAGTCCGAATATATTTATTATCATGATCTTAATATCACAAGATTTTCGAAACTTTTTTGGGTGGTAATTTTACCCTGTCATCACACGCATTTCTTGTGCGGTACCTAGGGTTTTGATCATTTTTGCTTAGTATATCAAATATACTAAATATTTTTTGACTTCCTTTAAAAATAAAAATTTTTGTTTCTAGCATTACTTTAAATATACATGTTTATTGCCTTTTACAAATATATTGGTATCGTTTTTTAGCTTAAAAAAATTTACTAAACCGTATTACCGCCGCTATCATCATCATCACCATCATCAGTATAATCAAAATGGTATTGCGGTGATTTATCAGAATCTAATAAATCCTCCCATTCAGTATTAGAATCTAATGCTTCATCAGATAATTCATCAAAAATCCCATTATAACGCCTCAAACCTGCGTCTAGCAAGACACCCAAATTTTCTATTTCATTTGAAATGTTTGTAGATTCAGCATCAGTTGGATTAACAAAAAGTCGCAAAAATGCTTTCTCATATACTTCATCTAATTTTTGTTCTTTAAGTTCGATTTTATCATCATAATCGACCATTTTATTATTTGCAACACCTTTAGTATGACGTCTCGAATCATCCATATCGAACTCATCGTTGCTACTATCTTCATTAGTCTCGTTGGGAATTTGATCCGTTGTTTTCGTTTGTTGTACATCAACATGCATATCATCTTCACCTAATAAACTGTCACTGTCTTCATAATCTTCATAATTTGAGAAGCTTCCATCATCATATGTGCTACTAGAATAACCTTGTATATTCTGATCTGAGAAATTTTGAGATTCTCCTATATCATCTGCAAGATCGTCATCTTCATCTGTATCATCCGGGTTGTGTATTTTCGAGAATTTTTTTAAAGCTTGATATACATCATATTCCGAAATCTTAAGATAAACGTGAACGTCAATTTCAACATGCTACTTTTCCTTTCCCATTTTCTCATGTGATATTAGCAAGATTACATGCCTCATGTTTTTCTTGAATATACATTCTTCTGTAATGATCATTTAATGCAACAAGATTTTTAACAATACCTTGTAACCAATTTTGTAATATACAATGAAGCATAACAATAGATGCACGATTAACAAGAATATCATCGGTAGTGTACCTACAAATAAAAATAAACAATATTATATTAAACATGAATTATGAATGACACTAAGGCAAATCATTAATTGGTTCTTTTTTACTTTCGGATCAATTTTAATATATTCTCAAGTTCAAACAATTCCAGCTTTTTTTCATCCCATTGAGAAATCGGCTGCATATTTTCCCCAAAGGTTTTTTTCGTTTCAATTTTATTAATTTGATCCTGAATCATTTCAGCTTGTATTTTTTCAAATTTCAACCAATCATCACTCATCTCCCTAGCAGATGGTAGATCAGTATAATTTATAGGGCGAATCGCTTCGCAAGCCTTCGCCAGATTTAATTCATGCTCAAAAAACTTAATAAGCATCATGACTTGAGGTACACTTTTCGTGCCAATACGTCGTGAAATTTCAGCAGGATTGCATTTTCCACAGCGTTCCAAAGCTATAAAAAAACTTGCGAACTCTTTAGCTTTCCATAAAATGTTATAAATGGATATTCGATTTTTTAAACGTTTAAAAATTTCAATTTCTGGATTTATAAAATCGCATTCAGCCTTGACGAGCAAATGGTGATAAAGCTGAGGGCTTGGTCTTAAATAGTATTCTTGGTCAACTTTGAAGCTGTCCAAGGAAGACTTGAACTTTTGTATAATATCTTTTTGTTTATATTTAGACAACTTACTTAATTCACGAGTTTTGGACATGGTTAAAAAAAAAGTACGAATGTTGTATCAGTAGTGTGATGTCCAAAAAAATTTTACCATTTCGTGTAACTCGAGCTTCCGGAATTCGATCCGACAATTCAGATTCGGGCCTCGGATCGGACCTGCAATACAAGCTAACTAATATTATCGTTATAGCAAAATTACGATCCGAGCAATTTTACCTAGTACATTGGTTGTGTTTTTCGGCATAATTAATTAAGTCCGGAAGCGCGAATTACACGATCCCCGCAGGTTTATTAAATACCATAATATCACATGATAAATATGCTAGAATCGGTAATCTGATTTCGCCGTCAATCACGTATGGTTTGTAAAAGAAAAAATTCATCAAACCAAAGTTACTTAATTTGCGAATCTATATTAATTGTACGTACAATCATAAATACTGCCACACCATCACAACGAATTACATATTTTGGTTGGCTTTACGTGACTTTAGAATTTTGAATGTACCATTTCTCAAAAAATAAAGCTATTATTCAAATTTTGATCGGATTATCCTAACTGATAGGACTACAGTTTCACAAATATCTTTAAATAATTACGAGATGTGTTTACTTATCATAATCTTCAAAATGAATAAATAAAGCTATCTATAGTATCACGAAGAATAATTTAAATTCACATAGACAATTCGTTACGAATTATGACGGATCTGTTTTTAAAATAGTCAACTGTACACAGATCTTGTCACTTATGTAATACTGGTTGCGTTATTAAGTTTTTTATATACCCCATGAATTTCGATAATACTAGATCTTTGGAATGATAACGACGAATATATACCATCAACAATTATTTCATTGAAGCACATGCAACCGAATTTGAGAATTGGATAATTGATAGAATTTAACGTCGAATAAAAAAAAAAAAGTAAAACAATTAGTCTAACTAATGATAACATTGAAAAAACTACAAGCAACGACTATACTAACTGAATTATATAAACCGATATAAAAAAAAGAAGGAAAGTGCATCAGTTGAAAGTGTATACAGATTAAGGCGACAAAAAAACTAACCAACTAAAATCTATCGAAGAAACGTAACAACACCAAATAGAACAAAGTTTGTAATTAAACACGAGAATAAAAGAACGCTAGCAATTATTTAAATATTTATAAAGGTTAAAAACAACCACAAAAAACTGGAAACGGCGAAACGACCGAAGCTTTTAATACGATGTTCATAACTATTAGCCTAAAAAAAATATCGATAAATTAGTAAAATTATAAAAATTATATGCTTACGAAAAAAATAAAAATAAAACAATATGCAAATCATCAACTCATCTCAAATAAATAAAAAAAAATTTTCAAAAAAAATTTTTGTAGCTGATTTTAGTGCCGACTGCAGTTTTAAATTATTTGCAGTTTGCTGGGTTATAATCAGCGTTTAATGTAGGTCATTTGCATATATGCACCAAGAAAGCAAACAAGAAAAATAAAAAAATAACCATTAAGGCTAAAGGAAATATAAAACAATAACCTTTAGCCTCAAAAGTATAAGAAAAAAAAAAAAACTAAACTACCGCTCTAATAAAATAATAAAATGATAAAAAATAAAAAACAGGTTATTAAAAAGAATAATAATGTTTATTAAACGACTTGGTGCGAATAGCAAATGATTCAAAGAAAACAAAAGTCAACATCAAGGGTTTTTAAACCATTTGTGTGCGTGTTTCTCACGCCCCCTTTTTTTTTTATCAAACGCGACTCTGTCTTCTACGTAAAAAAAACAGGGTTATACGATTTTTTATATCCTGAGGATAGAGTTATTACCCGGGTCACCCGACTCGACGGGTTACGGGTCGAAATTCGACTATAATGCCACTGTATAAGAAGATATTATAAGTATATACTGCATAAATAGTAAAGCATTTTACTTGTGTCGTCCGATCCGTACAGGTCAGCTTCTTGTCAGGCACGTATTTCCGAAGTAGAAAATGAATGAACTCACAAGGTCTAAAAATTTTTCAACATAAAATCCGAAAAATTCCAGTTTAAATATTCGGAGTACAGATTCTAACAGCTTTTAAGGATTAGCTTCAAAAACTTTATGAATTTCCATTCGACCCGTTGACCCGGATCAAACCCTGACCCGCCCGGGTCAGTATTTTCTGACCCGGGTAAGAACTCTACCCGAGGACTCATCTGTTTTAGTAGATGTTCCCTCAGTCAGTGTAACAATACTTACTTACATGATTTGTTTCTCAGATTCTGATTTCCTAGTAAATAAACCTTCAAAAATACTATATTATAGCGAAGTTTATGAAAAAAAAATTCGGATTAGAGCTATTATTTTTAGAATCCTATCAGAAACATCAGAAATAGTACTCAAAAGTTTTTTTTTTAACTCCATCAAGATCAGTACTGCGATCCCATCAGGAATAGTATTTTCGCCTAATTTAGAATTTAGAAGCACCGGATTAAATTGTAGATGTAAAACCGCAGTATATAACAATTTTTAAAATTTATTTTAATATACTATGCAACAATTACAGAATTAATAATATACAAATTACTCTGTTTTCTTTTACAATAATTTGAAGTGGTATAATCTATAAACTATGCTGGAATAAACAACTTTACTAAATTTACTGTATTATATATAGTCTTTATTTA